TTACATAGATCTTTCCTGTTTATTAAATTTTGTTAATCATTTACCTTCTGATTATGTTTCAGAATTTTGCCACATAACACATTTTATATGTAATTAAATTATTAAATTTCTGCTTTTGTAGATGAAATTCAGATTAAATAAATTATTATTTATATTTTACTTTGGTATTGATGCCTGTGGGCTCAATAATTTGATTGGAGAATTTAACTTTACAAACATCATTCATTCACTTCTTCCAGCTACCTAGGATCTATGAAAGGAACATTACCAGCAGAATAGCAAATATTAGTTTTATATATTCACTACATTTAAGTGAATGCAAATTTTCCAAAAAGTGTGAAATATCATATTAAACTCTTGCTGAAATTGTAGCAAGATGAAAAGAGGAATTGAAGGTGGTGAAGGTGGTACATAGGTATAGAAATAGAGCAGAGGAGGGGGAGGTCGAGTCTAGGTTTGGTATGGTATAGTTGAGTGAGAGAATGAGGTCATGAGGAAGGCCACTTCATAGAAGCTGGTAAGTCATAGAAGCTGGCTTATGGAGGGAAGATGCTGCATTGAGTGAAGAAAAGAAATAAAGAGATAAGTAATAAACAATAAAGACATGATTTTTCTTTGGCTTTTTTCTATTGTATACCAGACATAATGGGTGATTCTGTGAGGAATAAGAAAAAAGTTTATGCTACATATTTCATCCTTAAGTACTAAGGTATGTTACATATTTCAACTTAAGTACTACTGGGCAGACTACATGAATATATGCTGTTTAAAGAATATTAAAAGTGAATTTTGGCTGGGCGTGGTGGCTCATGCCTGTAATCCTAGCACTCTGGGAGGCCGAGGCGGGAGGATTGTTTGAGCTCAGGAGTTCAAGACCAGCCTGAGCAAGAGTGAGACCCTGTTTCTACTAAAAAAATAGAAAGAAATTAGCTGGATAACTAAAAGTATATATATAAAATATTAGCCAGGCATGGTGGTGCATGCCTGTAGTCCCAGCTACTCGGGAGGCTGAGGCAGGAGGATCGCTTGAGCCCAGGAGTTTGAGATTGCTGTGAGCTAGGCTGACGCCATGGCACTCTAGCCCGGACAACAGAGTGAAAATCTCTCTCTCTCTTTCTCTCAAAAAAAAAAAAAAGTAAATATAATATGTAACCTACACATTTGTACCCCCATAATATACTGAAATAAAAATAAATAAATATAAATAAATTTTAAAATGTATATTTCATCCTAAATAAATTCCATTGACTTCTTTTTTGTATTTTTCTAGCTGTACAATTAATTATGTTATGTAGCAAACAAAATATATCCTCTAATTTCACTGCTTATTTTAGTTTCTGAACAATAGGTAGAACCACAAAAGAGATATCTTGGCAATCAAAATATTCTAGGATTTTATAGTTTCATTTAAAGACTCTTGGCTTCAGTTACAGAAACTCAATTTTGTCAAAGCAACAAGAAATTATCTGAGGCAGCAAGACTTACTCATTGCTAAATTTATGATGGAATGACATATAAACAAATTATTATTTTGCATTTAGAAATGCAACTACTAAGTAGACCAGAATGTTTTTGATGGCTGGTCAAAATATACACTATTCATAGGAAGAGTGGTACATAAATTTATTATGTAATTGTGTAATATGTTTAGTGGGAAAGAATAGCAAAGGAAGTAAGTTATAATTAATGATTGACCAGAGCCATTTAATGCAAACAATCTGAACCATCTACAACTTGGAAATACACCTGCCTGGGGGGAATAGACTGTCATGTTCACTGAGCAAGACATACTTGCCAAGTCTGACATTGTCATTTTTTTGCTATCTGGCCATCTTTTTCTTTCTTTTTTAAAGCACTTTAATGATTTTATGTTTGACATGTAAATAGCTATAGATATTTAATATATGCAACTTAATGATTTTATGAAAAAGTATATACCCATGAAACCATCACCACCATCAAGTCCATAAACATATGCATCACCCTCCAAAGTTTCACCCTACTCCCTTTATTATTAATATTTTTAATGGTAATGACATTTAACATAAGATTTACCTTCTTAGCAACTTTTAAGTGTACAATACTTGTTACTTGTAGACAATGTGCTATATTATAGTAAATTTCCATAATTTATCTTGCGTAACTGAAATTTTGTACTCTTTGACTATCACCTTTCTAGTTTTGTCTTTTATTTTGCTGGACATGTTAAGGATGGTAATTTATAGTCTGTTTCAGGTAATTCATATTTCCCTTTGGTTTGTGTCTTTTGCTTCTCTTGATTTTTGATCCTCTTTTTTTCTCATGCCTTTATTATTTCTAAGAAAGTAATATAAATGGTTTAGGAAAGATTATGAAGATAGCTGGAGGTCTAGGATAATCTTATGTCTTTGGCAGAAGGCAGATAACCCTTAATCCAATCACGGAGAGATTGTTTAAATCTAAGCTTCAGCTCCCACAAAGACAAACCTACCATCCTACCCAAAGTCTATGTTTACTGAGCTTCTCTTTCTTGATGGGTTCTGAACTCTGTGCACTATATTTAGGCAGATTTTAACATAAATAGATATACAAAAATAAAACTTTATGAGGGGATTTTTATGTACTTAAAAATATTCACAAATGATAGATACTTGAAAGAAAAACATGGATTCCTTTCTTATGCCTACTAAAAGACCAATTTTTAAACTAATATTCCTTATCTATTGGCTATCTTTTTAAAAATATATAACACTAGGATAATTTCTTCTTGGGAAAGTGATAATTCCAACCGTAGACATATAAACTTATTCTATGGCCTCAATAATACCACTTTTCACAGAAGTCATATACACATGCAAGTAGCAATGCGTAGTATGATTCTTCTTTCTTTATTTCTTTTTTTATCCCTTTGGATGACTGATTGAATGTTGGGCAAGGCATATAAATCAATAATAATGCACCATCACTAAAAGTCCTTCAATGAGTGATTGGTGCAATTAAACTTTTCTATATTCTTACTGTGGTGATGGTTACACAAATGTATACATATATTATAATTCATAGAACTATACACACACAAATGCATGCCTAAACCAATCAATTTTACTGTATGTGAATATTTAAATTAAAGCTTAATTTAAATATCAAATTCAAAAAATTATTAAAAAAGAAAAGATAATCTAATTCATTTGACTGAGAAATATGGGGACCAAATAAGCAATGAGAGAGACACAAAGAGAAAATGAGAATTCTTGGAAGACGATGCAAAGACTGGGAGAAGATCAGGACACTAAATTCTTTTTTCTGAATAATTAAAAATCGTTATAGCTAACATCAGGTCTCTGTATAACTGTTAATAATAAACTCCAGTAATTTAGATTAAACTGTTAATAATAAACTCTAATAATTTAAACATCAGTTCTATTTAAGAAGGTATTTTAATACCCAGGCAAATGGCTATAGTCAAAAGGAGCTAAGATCTTTAATTGAACAGTTATTCTACATCTACATTTACCATCAAATAGTTTTTCTATCATAGTGGATGAAGATAAACTTTGAATATATGGTATCTTTATAATTTTCTGTTTTTACATCTGTGTATTTCAAGGCTCTTTGTTAAGGTGGCATTATAGATATATAAACTCTCAAGAATGTAGTGATATATTATTTAAGAGTATGTATTAGAGAGAATGCATTCAGAACAGACAAAAAAAGAATGTAATATTTAAGCTAATGTCTAAAGATACTTTCTCTTTCTTTATTTCAAGTAATAGAAGTGGCCAGTGTAGATCTATTCAATTTTAGGATTCCCCTTGCATATAAATAACAAGAAGACAGAAAAGGAACATTTTTAATAGTAGGTGAAGAAATCATTTTTACACAATTAGATACTATACCAGATACATATTATACATGTATAAATATATGTCACTAAGACATACACATATATAATATATTATGTATTTGCATGTATGTATGTATGTGTATATGAGTGTGCATATATGCATGTGTGTGTATATGTATAGCTTTTCATATCTACAGGGAAGTAGTTCCAGGATCCTCCATGGATACCAAAATCCATAGATGCTCAAGTCCCCTAGTCGGCCCTCTTTATTTGCCGGCTTCACATCTATGGATTCAACCAAATGCAGATTTTTCAATTGCCTGTTGGTTGAATCAGTGGATATGGAACCTGCAGATACAAAAGGCCAGTTGTTCTGTGTGGGGGTGGGGGTGGGGGTGTGTACATACACATAATATACATATGTAAAATGTAGTGGTCAAATTTTCTAGGTGATGTAAAGAAATAAGAAAATCTGCAAAGTTGGATTAAATCAACAGAATATTTTAATAAAATAACAAGCTCACAATTTGCTGCTGTTCACACTTGCTTTCACCTTTAGAAGTTTTATTGTTCATTGGTATCCCAGAGTAGATTCAAATTCAGGATGAATTGTTAGAAGTTATATTGCAAGAAGTCAGAGTTAAATGTTTGTTCAAAGAAAGAAATATCACAATATTGAAGTGGGAGTAAATGATGAAGGTGATGACGATGATGATGCTATCTTATCCCAGTGCCACCACTTAAACATAATTGTCTCCCATCCAAGTACTAACCAGGCCTTACCCTGAGTCACAATTGTAAGTTCTAATACCATGTTCTGGCTAGACTCAGAGTCAGGAAAGTTTCATGTTTTGACAACAAATTTGCATGCATTCCTGAACCCTGATTGATATACTCTTAAGTCACAATCAGAAAGGGTGTTTCTATTTGTTATTGTGCTTAATTCCTCAAATAACAGATATTCTGATGGACTGTCAACATCATACTATGATCCCTTCCTGGGAAAAGATTCTACTACATTAAACACGTACTTGTGCAAGAACTTTAAAAAGCAGAATTAGACATTCACTGAATCTCAGTTTATTATATATCTATGCTTATTTGGGGGGCAAGATCTGGAGTCTGAAGTTGCTTATCAAAACTTTATCAGGGCTTTTTGTTTATATCTCTGTTTCAGATGGGACTGACCTCGGGCTACGGCTTGTGGGTGGAAGCAGGCGCTGTGTTGGGAGAGTAGAGTTGAAAGTTCAAGGGAAGTGGGGGACCGTCTGCCACAATGACTGGAACCATGCCGCTTCTGACGTAGTGTGCAAGCAGTTGGGGTGCGGACGCGCACTGCATTTCGCTGGCTTTCCTCATTTGGAATCAGGGTCTGGCACTGTGTGGCGTAATGTTTTCTCCTGCTCTGGTAACGAATCTTTTCTTTGGAACTGCAAACGCGGAGCGGTAAATGATTTTTGTAATCATCAGAAGGATGTGTCTGTGATCTGCTCAGGTAAGAGCCACATCCACGTGATTACATCAGATAAAATACCTCTTTTGGAAAAATAGGACCAATCTTTGAAGTTACAACCAAATGACATTTTAAATTTTTCTTTAGGAGTATGTTTGCATGTCTTCCAGGATATTACATTGTAAACCTCCGTTTTTGGAAATGAGAATTATACCTTCTGACACTATTTTACGTAATTCTGATTCTACAACAAACTATCCAATCTAGTCAAAATTGCTATTGGTCTACACAAGTGTATGGTTTCTATTAATATTTAGTATAATTTTAAACTGATTATTTGGTATATGCATAAACAGAACTACATTTTATATAATGTTATAATTGAGTTCACTTCAGAACTTCTTTTCACTAAAATAAACTATTTTTAAACAGTACTTACCTAAAAATTTGCTAATTACTTTATGCCTTACACTAGTATAATTTTTGGCTGTAGCCATTTGTTGTCCAGTTTTAGACTCTCAACTACAAGCAAATTACCCCTCTGCTTTTTATTTATAGTTTTGTGTGGTCAGGGATTAAAATATTGCTTCATATGTATCTTACATTAGTATTATATGTTCAAAGATGTGTAAAAAATACTGCTAACCCTTTTAATGAAATTAAACCCACACCTTCTAAGATCCTTATGAAAGGATAACCTCTAGAGGTAGACTCCTTTTTCCTCTGAGAGTCACTTTTGTCTTGATGGAAGAGGCTTCTTTAGTAAATTATTCCTGACCCTACTCTACTAGCCTTCCACAAGATGCCTTCATCATCTTCTTTTCTGTAGAGTTCGAGATCAGGTCATGGTTTTTAAGGAGAGTTTTACTTAAATCTAGAGTTTGTAAAAGTAAACTATGCACATAAAACAACACGTGTAGACAGTGAGGTTTATTAGTTACAGTAGCTCTCACTTAGCCACAGGCTTGAGTCTGTCCTCATAGGATATTTGGAAAAGAAAATATGTTCAGAACATCTTTTAATCCTTTTCTTTCTTTCCACACCAGTTGCTTGCAAGTTTTATATGGGTACCAACCACTTCCACCCTGAAAATGAGAATTTCCCATGGTATATTTAATCAACCCATCATTTTCTAAGATTTTTCTCTACATAAATGGAAAGAAAAGAGAGGGAGAGAAAATGTTGGGGGAGAGAATATGGAGACCCGAGAAAATGAGAGAGGGTGAGAGAAGAGGGAGAAGGAGAAGGGAAGAGAGACAGAACTTTAACCACTTGTATTTAACATAAATTTTCTTGCAATAGGCCAGGCATGGTGGCCCATGCCCATAGTCCTAGCACTTTGGGAGGCCAAGGCAGGAGGACCACTTGAGGCCAGGAGTTCATGACCAGCCTAAGCAACATAGTGAGACCCCATCTCTACATAAAAATTTTAAAAAATTAGCCAAGTGTGGTGGCTTGCACTGTAGTCCCAGCTATTTGGGAGGCTGAGGCAAGAGGATCGCTTCAGTCCAGGAGTTTGAGGCTGCAGTGAGCTATGGTTGCACCACTGTACTCTAACGTGGGCAGTAAAGTGAGATCCTGTCTCAATAAAAATTTTTTCCTACGATAAAGTGAATTCATAACAGTGTACTTCTGGCTTGATATAATATCCCTGACTGTAAGAAAAGTTGTTATTCAACCTCTGGAATTTCTAGAATTGCATGCCTCTGGTAGAGTAAGGAAGGGCCATGAAGGTATAGATGCCAAAGACAGGTTGGAAACAGTCCAAACAATGAAAACAGATGTGTATGTCCGACCATGGGAAAATGGGTACTTGGGTACATTGATCTTCTCCTCAGCCCTATAGTCACAGGGATTTTTAGCCAAAAAATATAGTTTACAGTTTAGAATCTGTCACTTGATAATTGTGTGACCCTGTATAAAGCAATCTCTAAGCTGCAGAATTCTCATACTGTGGATAGCACTAAATAAAATAGTGTAGAGAAAGTACCTAAAATGTGCCGGCTGATCAGGAAGTTCCCAATAAATATAGGTATGATTATTATTATCATGTCTCACATATTATTTATAGGAAAATAAACTTATAAATCTTCCGATACTAACATATTCAATGTGAATCAAATTTCTCATTAAGTACCAAAATACATTTTTGTAATGATGTATGAAAAGTTAGATAATGGGAGGAGACAAAACATACAAATTCTATCTTCTTTCCTCGATTATTTCAAGAAAGAATTCACATTTTTATTCCGTGTACCTATTTAATCTTGCATGTATGAAAAAGCAGAAGTATCATGATACATATGCCAATGAAGCAAAAAGACCCAGTTCATTTACAATTTACCAGGAACAAATTTCATTACCTACAACAAATATACAAGGGCTCTCTGGAAAGTATATTACATGGCTGGATACTTTTCAGACAGCCCTTGTATTTTATAAATGAAAACTAGTTTCTTCATAGAAAACATAGCATGAGAAAGAACGTGTTTCTATTTAAATCCAAGAAAGATTTTTTCTTAACTCTGCATTCTTTTGTCATTTTTCCCTCTGAAGTTACTGAAATGCAAGTATTTCCCAATATTCTCTTTATTTTATTTTACTGAGTTAAAAATGATTAATCTAGTATTTTGAAAATGTAATTTATGATATATAGGATTCTAAGGCTTTTCATGGTGACATATAGTTTCATAAAATTTAACCGAGATTAAAGCAAGGTTTGTAGGTTTATAATTTCAATTTTTATGTTAAGGAGAAGATTGTTTTCATAAAGACTGATATGCAGTTCAATATTCAAGTCTTCTTGTTGAAATTCCAAAACAAAATGCATTTTAATTCTTTACTTTTCCCAGTATGTGTAAGATACATCTAATCTTCACATGGGGAATTGGAGGAGAGGGAAGCCGATGACCTTTTCCCAAACCCAGCCCAGACTTTCTTTATGACTTCGTTCTAGATGGAGCAGATTTGGGGCTGCGACTGGCAGATGGAAGCAGCAATTGTTCAGGAAGAGTGGAGGTGAGAGTGCATGGACAGTGGTGGACAATATGTGACAAAAACTGGAATAATAAGCAAGCCTCTGTGGTTTGTAAACAGCTAGGATGCCCACTTAGTGTCTCCAGCAATCACTATGCTAAACCTAGTAAGGAATCTAAAGAAATGTGGATAAACAGCATATCTTGCACTGGAAATGAGTCAGCTCTCTGGGACTGCATATATGATGGAAAAAGAAAGGCAATATGTCTCCAAAGATCAGATGCTGGAGTGCTCTGTTCTGGTAAGGTTTAAAAATCACAGGAGTGTACAAATTTGAATTTTCAGGAAAAATTTGTTAGGAGATTAAAACACTTAATAACTTGAAGAGGGAAGCTTTTCTTGAATCTTAAAAAAAAAAAAAAAATCCCAAACATACCCCTGAGTTACATAAAGACCTTTTGTCTTATAGCTTTCTTCTGTGTTATACAACTTGCTTTTTATTGATGAGAAACCACTGCTTACTCTTCATAACTCAGATTTGGAAGAAATAAAATGTAAAAATGTAATTTGGGTCTGTGAGTGAACCATCCACATATACCACTTTAACATAATAAGAAAAAATAATATCATCCTGCTGCCTTTGGTTTCCCTTGGCTCATTGTAAAAAGAGAGTTTTCATGGCCTAGCCATCAATCTCTCCCAAAAGCAGATGGAGCTAGTACCAATGCATCACTCTAATATGTATTTCTAAAACAACTAAGAGGCTCCTCTTCATATAAAACTCATGAGTTTTACTAATTTACAGTTTTCTTAACAGTTTATCTGCTGCTTTTTAAATTTTTATTCAATAATTTATATTGTTTATTTCATTTATTGGATTGATTATAAATTAATGTTCATTATAGAGAATTAAAAATCTATATAAATCCAAATAGCTAATATAGGTATGTTTTTATACATAGACATGATGCATAATTCTGTAATAACCTAGAATGTCATTAGCAGAATTTAGAACAAAGAAAAACTATATGTATAATATTTGTCACAGATTTTAATTTTAAGTATAAATGTTTCCATGGCCTTTTAAACGGGAAAAAAAGTCCAGGCAGTAAATAAAGTAAAAGATAAAGAAATACGTAAATAAAATCAAGTAATCATTCTTCTTTGTAGCACTTCATGAATTAAAAAAGAGAATATCAAGAGTTCTAAATGGGCTGGGGTGGTAGTGTCAGGGGAGGATGTGAACCTAGATGACAAATTCTAGCCATGCTATTTATTAATACATGAGGGTATATATGGATAGTGTTATTACCTACTGATCTCTCAGTACTTGCCATAGAAGCCTGACAGATGATAGATATAGTATAAACAAAGAATTGTGTTCCTGCAAGTGAAACATATACACACATGCACACAAACACTTTATATGTGGAGGGATGGATGAATGGACAGATACATAAATACAGAGATAGGTAGATAGATAATGCAACTCATTATTATGTATCTTTTCTTGCTGTAACATTTGCATTTTCCTATGTCTTTAATTTCTTTAAAAAAATTTAAAACTTCATATCATTCCATCCTATGAGTACAGAAAATTATTTAGCCCAAGCTCCATTATTAGTGTATAGGCTGTTAATATGATGTTAGTATGATATATGATATATCATATGATATATATTATACTATATAATATATAGTATACTATGATCTCATAAGATATATAATATTATATATATTATACTACACTATAATATATATTATACAATACTGACATACTTGAATATAAAGTGTATATAAATTCCAGAATTTGAGAAGTGAAATTTGTTTTATCAACCTCTATCTATTTATTCTGTTCACCTTTAATGTTATCAATTTGGTAGGCAAAGTTAACTATCAATTCTTTTGCACACATTAAGTTTACTTTACCTTTATCTTTCTTATAGACTGATATAAAATATCATACAAATTTCTTTTTGTTTTTGAAAACAATTTTTTCAAATTATAAACCTAGTGAAAATACAAAAAAATTCAAAAGATTTTAAAAATCCACTTGCAATGCCACCATTAATTTAATTTTTTAATTTTTTTGTTTATATTGCTGGATCATGTGTATGTGTAAGCATACCTTTTTTGCTGAACAAGATACTATAGACATATTCTAGATGGTCATTATTAATCTATCATAATGTTAAAGGCTACTTAGTAAAATGCATAAAGGTACTATTATATAATTTCTTTAACTATTCACCTTAACTAATGTAAAGGTTTTCAAGTTTTCACTATTAAAAACATTATTTTATTAAATATACTGAGAAATACATTTTTCACACTTTATTTATTTTGCTAAATACTTAAAAATGAAATTGTCATATAAAAAAGTACACATCTTTTTAAAGTTTGGTTATATATTACTAAGTTATTCTCTCTGAATTGAGTTTTTCCCCTTCTACAAAATTTAATTTCTCTACCATCCCACTACATTCCATTAACACTAAATATTTTCATGTTTTAAATCACTGTTAATCTTAATTAACATTTATTATTTACCGTGTGCCAGTCAGTGTTCTATTTACTTTACATATATGGTTTCATGGAATCCTCATGAAATCCCAGGCTGTAGGTTACTGCTCTGATCTCTATTTCACACTGAGGAAATAGAAATACTGAGAGAAAGTAACCCATTCAAAGTCATTCAGCTAAAAGAGCAGGAGTGAAGCTGGAATTCAAATATAGGCTGTCTAGCTCCAGAGTCGATACTCAAAAATCTCACTTCTTTGACAAGAAATAAGGATTTTTACACCAAATCTATATTAGTAACTTATATTTGTTTGGTGAGTTACCATGTTCTGTGACCATTTTTCTATTGTGTGATATATCTTTTTCTTCATAAATGTAAGAACTCTTTATATTTTACAGCTGCCCTTTGCAAATTACATAACCCTCCTCTTCGATTTCTAGAGCCATCATATTTTAATTATTGTAGCTTTCTGTAAGCTAATATGTACTGATGCATATATCTCCTAATTAACCTTATTTTTCATAAAATGTATTTGCTATTCTTTCATTTTTATTCTTCTAAATGTGAATTAAAATTAAAATTGTTTTTAAGGTAATATTAAACATATGAATTGGCTGAGTGCACACCTGTGGTCCCAGCTACCATGTTTCCCTGAAAATAAGATCTACCCATAAAATAAGCCCTAGCAGAATTTCTAAGCATTTGCTCAATATAAGCCCTACCCCGAAAATATGACCTAGTAATGGGCATGGCTACGCAGTGTATCTGCACTACCCATGCATTTTGTCACAGAGCGGTAAAGAAGACGAGCAGCCCTTCTCATCTGCCCCATCGTGATAGCTACTATCCCAGAGGTGACGGGAAAGGTGCGGGCAGCCCCACCAACAAGATCAGCTCCCCCTGTCAGGTCCTGACCATCCTGTGCGTGCTGCAAGCTGAGGCTTTGAGGGGAAAATAACACATGCCCTGAAAATAAGCTCTAGGGTGTGTTCTTAAGGAAAAATAAATATAAGACCCTGCCTTATTTCTGGGGAAACATGGTACTTGGGAGGATGAGACAGAAGGAACACTTGAGCCCAGGAGTTCAAGGCTGTAGTGTGCTATAACCACACCTGTGAATAGCCACCCACTCTAGCCTGGCAACACAGAAAAACCCAGTCTTTTTAAAAAATATATGAATTGGTCTGACTTGGGGAGAAATTTTCATTACAATATTTAGTTATCCTATACTAGAAGAGGAATATACTACATTTATGTATTTATTTGTCTCAGGAACTTAAATTTTTTATTTGCTTTGTTTCTAAGAATTTTTATTTAGTATATATGGAAATTATATATATTATATAGACATATATACATGTATTCATACACATATACATTTAACCTAGATTAAAAACATTGTTTTCCATTATGTTTCTCTTGGAAGTAATTGGTGACATACTAAAAACTTTGTGTGCCAAGGATATCTATGGCAGCATAATTTATGAAAATGAAAAATTATCAACTTAAATAACCAAGAATTGTGTCTTGATTAAATAACTTACAGAACCTCTGTATGATGGTATACTATGAAACCATTAAATATTATGTTTTAAATATACACACACACACACACACACACACACACACACACACTAGGTTGAATAGAATGGGAGATTATTTTGTATACTAGAAGCAATTGTCTTACTGGATACCCAGAGAAGGAACTGGAAAGCTTTTAGAATTTTTAACGGGGTCCAGTATAAAATATTATACCTTTCCTATATCATAGCAATGGCTGGATAGAAAAATATTTCTCAAGTGCTTTGAACATTGCAGAAATCAAGATCAAAAAGAGGAATTTATTTTATAAAAGGGTATTTTCATGTGCTTGTGCCTCCTTTTATCTTATAAAGCATGGGCAAACAAACTAAAATGAAGACTATGAGAGGTGAGCTTTGTTGCCAGTGCTGGACTCCACTGCAGAACCCTGCTAGAGTTATCTCCTGAATATATTTATGCCTCCATGAACCCCTCCTCATGATCCCATGTTGCCTGTCTTGTCCAAATTAGTCATTCTGAGAGGCTTTATAGCTTCGCTTCAGGAAATTTGCTTCTGTTTTTCATGCTGTAGGTACGCCTTTTTTCCATAATTGAATAAGAAATTATCAAAAGAAACAATACCAAACTTTTCATCAAAAATATGGCCAGTATATCATCCATTAGGCAAAGCCTTAGAGTGGTAACTTTAGACGGTGAGGAAAATATCACCTTTGGTCTTCTCAAAGGACCCTCTCAATTTGATCTCAAATGTATGGTTTTGTCTTGCTTACAGATGAGTCAGATCTGGACCTCAGGCTCACGGGGGCAGAAAGTCACTGTTATGGGAGATTGGAGGTGAAATACCACGGACAGTGGGGGACCGTGTGTCATGACCTGTGGAGCACAAAGAATGCAGCTATTGTGTGTAAACAATTGGGATGTGGAAATCCTGTCCCCGTGCTTGGCATGACCCCGCTTACAGGAGCATCAGGACCTATTTGGCTGGATGATGTTTCTTGCATTGGAAATGAGTCAAACATCTGGGACTGCAAACACCGTGGATGGGGAAAGCATAACTGTTTACACAGGGAGGATGTGACTGTGAGCTGCTCAGGTAAGACTTCTTGTTTATTCTTTCCTGAAAAGAGAAATAGTATTCCTCATAGAGTCTACAAACTGCCTCAAGTCTGGAAATTTATTGAGGAGTCACGACTCTCTGTTTTTAGGTTAAGCTTCTGTTGACTTCTCCTACAACTCTTCGACATATAGAGATCAAGTAAGAATTGAGTAGAGAGCACACCTGTTTCACTTCCAGGGCTATCACAGTCAACTAGCAAACACCACAGCTCTGCGTTGTCAGACTATTCTGATTTCTGCTTTGACTGCTGTCCATTGGTTACAGTGACCATGCTCACTTTTTATTTGGTGATTAAGTGCCACCATTTGTCCTCTGCCACACTGGGATCCAATTATTCCCATTGCATCCAAGGATCCTGGGTCAGTGGCAGCAGTTCCCACTGTAATTCCTGTCCTGTAGAGTAGAGCTAGCACAGAGCTCTTTAAGGGTACTGGGACTTTCCTAATAAATTATTTCTCACAGTTGTGGTGAAAGATGTGTCCACTGGGCCCTCCTGGGTGGGTGAGCAGGTCTTATGGGGTAAATCCACTATAACATTCCAATTTCCCTGACCCCATGAGTCCCTTCCCCTATCATAGACAGAGTCAGTTCTGGCATTTCACATTTAGTGTAGGCCACCTTTTGGTCCATGTTTCAGCCAACCAATCAAACAAACAGAGCCCTTTCTAACCCCTAGCTGCATCATTAAATCTGGAACTCTGTTTTTTTGGTTTTGGGGGTTTTGTTGTTGTTGTTGTTGTTGTTGTTTGAGACAGAGTCTCACTCTGTTGCCTAGCTCATAGCAACCTCAAACTCCTGGGCTCAAGCAATCCTTCTGCTTCAGCCTCCCGAGTAGCTGGGACTACAGGCATGTGCCACCATGCCTGGCTAATTTATATATATATTTTTAGTTGTCCAGCTAATTTCTTTCTATTTTTTTAGTAGAAACAGGGTCTCACTCTTGCTCAGGCTGGTCTCGAACTCCTGAGCTCAAATGATCCTCCCGCCTCGGCCTCCCAGAGTGCTAGGATTACAGGCATGAGCCACCTCGCTGGGCCAAGAATCTCTGTTTAGTGTGCCCATACAGTAAATTCAGCCTGATCCAACTTTATGTTCTTTTCACCATTATGTCACACCCTTGATAGTCATTCCCACTCATATTTCCTAGACTTCTGTTTATATAAATTAGAAAAATTATGTTCTTTTGTGCACACCTCCATATGAGACACTTTGTACCTCACCTTCGAGGCCTGGTGGGATTTGAATCTAGTTGTAAAGAGGGGTGGGAGGTAAGGAGAATTGGGGGTATCTTTCAAGGCTATTACCTCAGGGGAGGTTGTTTCGGTTTCTTCGGGCAAAGTAGGGTTAATATCCTCAGACTGGGGTGGAGGGCTGCCTCTACTATCAAAGAAGAAACAGTAGGGTTTAGGGTTTCAATGGTCCCAGCCCCATCAGATCTTCCCATATGTCTTCATCCCAATTTTCATTATTCTGTTCCTTCCTAATCAATGCCTCACTGTGACAGTAGACACCCTGGGAGATTGGAAATTCAATTTGCATTGTCATTCAGTCCCTCTCCAGATTGAGGCTAGGGTTTAATTTTCAGCAATCTCAGTTCTGTGGCTACAGAAGATACCAGCTTCTTTCAGGAAAGACAGAAACTTTCAGGTCGTATGGCACTTGAGCTGGGAATTTGAATGTCTGAGCTCATCCTTTTCTTTCCTCGCTTTTTTAAGTGCAATTGGGATCAATCATCCCATCTTACTATGCTTGTTGATTTGGCAAAAATGTCCTAAGGTATCAAGGTGATATTGGCTTCGTAGAATGAGTTAGGAAGGATGCCATCTTTCTCAATGTTGTGGAATAATTTCTGTAGTATAGGTATGAGTTCTTCCTTGTATGTTTGGTAAAACTGAAGTGTAGCCATCTGGTCCAGGACTTTTCCATTTGGGGAGGTTTTTAATTGCTGCTCCAATTTCTGAGCTTGCGATTGGTCTATTCAAAAATTCTGTTACCTCCTGGGTGAATTTAGGGAGGTTGTATGTTTCCAGGAATTTATCCATTTCTTCCTCATTATGTAGTTTCTGGGTATATAGTTTTTTATAGTAATTAAAAATAATGTTTTGTATTTCTGTGGCGTCTGTTGTGACCTCTCTTTTTTCATTTCTAATTGAGTTTATTAGAGTCCTTTCCCTTTGAATTCTTGTCAATCTAGCAAGAGGGCTGGCAATTTGGTTATCTTTTCAAAAAACCAGCTTTTGGTTTTGTTGATCTTCTGTATAATTCTCTTGTTCTCAATTTCATTTAGTTCTGCTTTGATCTTAGTTATTTATTTTCTTCTACTAGGATTAGAATTGGTTTGCTCTTCCTTTTCTAATTCCTTGAGTCTATTTGTTAAGTTGTTGATTTCTAAGCTTTCTGTTTTTTGGATGTGAGCATTTATTGCTATTAGTTTTCCTCTCAGGTATGCTTTTGCTGTATCCCACAGGTTTTGATATAAAAATAAATTTAAATTAAAAACTCACAAAAATTGAAAACAAACCGAAATAAATAAATCTATGTATCAAATTTGTGATATAAATACGTGTTTAAAGACAAGTAGAGCTATTAATACAAAACAATATTAACTTTGATTTAGTATTATAATCATTAATAACAATAATAATTACTATGATAAAGCTACTTTATTGTTTATATGATAATGCAAATAAAAACTACATTAACATTTTAGAAAAAAATATGTCCTAAGATTTCAAATACATGCTCACCCAAAACCTTGCCTCTACTAATTACTTGATTAGGAGTATCCAATGGTGATATTGTGCATATTTCTATTGCCATATCCTGCCACAGATTGTCAGTGTTCTCACTACTACTTGATGTAGAGTCATTAGTGTCCTTAAATTTTATCAGATTAGTGAACCAATTCTAGAAACCCCACAATCAATTCAGAAAATTCATCCTTAATGTTTTGTTCCTCTGGAACCACTATTTTTGTTTTTATTTCAGGATACTATGAGAGTACAAATATTTTGGCTGCATTTCATGTCTTTGCCTCACCCAAGCGAGGATTAGAGGCATGCCCTTCCCCTCTACAATACTCACCACATCCATTAGCTGTGAGTTTACCCCCGCAAACCCCTAATCCCTGGAGAATATTACTACCATGTGAGCATCATAGTATTGATCAGTTAGTACCTATTTGATGGCGAGTATATGTGGAGGCTATTCCTCTGATCTTGTGATACATCAAGTAGGATAACAGGCTCAAGCTCTATCCAGGAAAATATAAGAGGTGCTAGATCACTGTTGTTTCTTATGATTGAGTAATATTCCATTGTGAACATATAAAAATTTTAATTATCCACTCATGAATTGACAGGCACTTGGGTTCTTTCCACATCCTTGCAATAGTGAATTGTGCTGCCATAAACCTTCGGGTGTAATCTGGGGGATGGTCATGCTGGAGACTCAGACTTGTGGGGGGAGGGGAGGAAAGGGCATTTATTGAAACCTTAAAATCTGTACCCCCATATTATGCTGAAATAAAAATAAATAAATAAATAAAATTTAAATTTAAAAATTAAAAATTAAAAAAAAACATTTGGGTGCAGATGTCTCTATAATAGAATGTCTTTTGCTCTTTTTGGTAGACGCCTAATAGTGCTATTGCTGGGTCGAATAGTATTTCTATTGTTAGCTATTTGAGGTATCTCCAAAATCTTTTTCACAGAGATTGCACTAATTTGCAGTCTCACCAGTAGTGTAAGAGTGTTCCTGTCTCTCCACATCCTCGCCAGCATTTGTTGTTTTGGCATTTTTTTGATAGAGGCCAATCTCACTGGGGTTAGGAGATATCTCATTGTGGTTTTGATTTGCATTTCTCTAATGATTAGAGATGTTGAGCATTTTTTTATATGTTTGCTGGCCATTATTCTGTCTTCTTTGGAAAAGTTTCTGTTCATTTCCTTTGCCCATGTATTGGTGGGGTTGTTTGATTTTTTTTCTTGTTGATTTTTTTAAGTTCTAGATAGATTCTTCTTATCAGCCCTTTATCGGATGTGTAGAAATATTTTCTCCCATTTCAAATATTTTCTCCCATTTCAAATATTTTCTCCCATTCTGTAGGCTGTCTATTCACTCTAATGATAGTTTCTTTGTCTGTGCAAAACCTTTTTAATTTGATCAGATCCCATTTGTTTATTTTTGTTCCTGCAGTGTTTGCTTTAGGGGGAACCACTATTGATACCAAAATCTGTATTAGTCAAGGTTCTCTAGGGAAACAAAACCAATAGAATGTGTGTCTATCTACATGTATCTATCTACACCTATATCTATATGTATCTATATCAGCATATATACACACATATACTATAAATATATGTGTGTGTGAATGTGTATGTGTGTGTTTGTGTGTATGTGAGGTCTCACAAGTCCAAAATCTGCAAGGTAGGTTAGCAGACTTTGGAGAAGTGTTGATGTTGTAGTCTTGAATCTGAAGATAGTCTGTAGTCTCAGTCTTTTCACTTAAGGTTTCAACTGATTGGATGAGCCCCATCTACATTAGGGAGGATAATTTGCTATACTCAAAGTCTATTGATTTAAATGTTAATCACATCTAAAAAAAAAAAAAAGTACCTTCACAGCAACATCTAGACTGATGTTTGAGCAAATAATTGGGAACTATAGCCTAGCCAAGCTGACACATAAAATTAACCATCACACCCATTAACTACTTGCCTTATTGTTCTCATTGTTTTTGATGTAGGCAATGAAACGTGGAGCCTGAGACTGGTGGATGGCCCTAACCGTTGCTCAGGAAGACTGGAGGTGAAGTTTCAAGAACAATGGGGCACAGTATGTGATGACAATTGGAATAGTGATAATGCAGCTGTGGTGTGTGGCCAACTGGATTGTCCATCTTCTATCATTGTCATGGGTCTGGGAGGTGCTTCTGTGGGATCTGGAAAAATTTGGCTTGATGATGTTTCCTGCTATGGGGACGAGTCAGCTCTCTGGTCATGCAGGCATGGTGGATGGGGCAGGCATGACTGCAGACACGAGGAAGATGTTGGAGTGACCTGTTCTGGTAAGATATCCAAACCAGGATTTCATGTAAGAGAAAGGTTCTGGGCTCTCTACCATACTCATTTTTTTTTTCTTAATCCATACATTTATGGTAGCGTACTCATTTCTTATTTTTTCAGAACTAACTATACCTCATATCCTCAATTTAGATCTTAAATTTATCTTTCTATAGGACCAAGTCTATTTTCTCAGGAAAGGAAACCTCATTTTCTGATATTTACCTAAATTTTCCCAAAATTAGAGTCACCAAGCACTAGTATTACAAGGGATTCTACAAAGAGAAATTATCCATAGTCAAGTAAGTTTTAGGAAAAATTAATCAGAATGCAGTTATATAATAAAATTATATAAATTAATTATAAATTAATCAGAATGCAGTTATATAAACATAAAAACTGCAGTTATATAATTAAATTATATAACTTTAATTAATTATAAATTAATCAGAATACAGTTATATAAATACTTAAACATTTGTGTTGAAACACTCACATACTCAACATTTCTTTCCCAAGATGACTCAAGTATTCATTCTTACTTGAAAGACTTATTTATGTTAAGATTGGTCCCACTAGCATTAGAACAAATGAATCTCATCCAAAGGTAGGGGCTTATGATTTATATAATTTCAAAAATGTTAGAAATTACCTTGCAGATTCCTTCTCTGAGATCAAAATTTTATTAGACAACTTTCAAATTGTACAAAGAAAAATTCCATGTATACCTACCAATGTAGTACAATTTTTGAAGAGTTGAAATCTTTGACTCTGATATATTATTTCAGTAGTGTTAGAGTTTCCATATTTTCAGTCAGTATCAACATATTTATTCCTTACTCTATTTTTTTCTAAGATGAATGGGTACGATGGTAAATTATGTTTTAAATAATCATTAAATTCCAGTATAAATTTGGAATTTGCTCTTAAACTTCCACAATTCTATTCTGCCTTTCAATTTAGGTAGACTTACATTTATGATTTACAAATAATCATAATCTTTCTTCAGAGATGATCTTCCAATTTGAATTTTGCCTGTTGTTTTCTGGAAGCTTGTTCTGCCACTGAACTATTCTCTTTTTATTATGCTTTTACTGATATATAATATCTGTACATATTTATAGGGTACAAGTGATATTTTGATACATGCGTAGAATGTGTGATGAACAAGTCAGGGTATTTAGGATATCCATCACCTTGAACATTTATTTCTTTGTGTTGGAAATGTTTAAAACATTCTCTTCTAGCCATTTTGAAATATACAATATATTAACTATAGTCATCCCACTGTGCTATCGAACAGTAGAACTTATTCTTTCTATTTAACTGTATGTTTGTACCTACTAACCTATCTCTCTTTACTTCTTCCCCCACCCCCACCCACACACACACACCCCAACCCTTCTTAGCCTCTGGTAACTATCCTTCTTCTCTCTACCTCTATGAAATAATTTTATAACTCCCACATATGAATGAGAACATGCAGTTTTTGTCTGTCTGTGCCTGGCTTATTTCACTTAACATAATAACCTCCAGTTCCATACATGTTTCTACAAATAACAAGATTTCATTCTTTCTTAGGGCTGAATAGTATTCCATTGGGTATATGGAATACTCACCCATTAATGCATGCTGAGGTTGATTTCATATCTTAGCCAATGTGTGGATAATGCTGCAATAAAAATTGGGTAAAGGTATCCCTTTGATATACTGATTTCCTTTCCTTTGGATATATACCCAGTGGTGGGATTATTGAATCATGTGGTAGTTCTATTTTTAGTTTTTTGAGAAATCTCCATACTTTTTTCCATAATGGCTGTACTAATATACATTCCCATCAAAAGCGTATAAGAGTTTCCTTTTCTCTACAGCCTTGCCAGCATTTGTTTTTGTTGTTGTTGTTGTTGTTTTGTTTGTTTGTTTGTTTTTGTCATCTTGATAATAGCCATTCTAACTGGGGTAAAATTGTATCTCATTGTGGCTTTGATTTGCATTGCCCTGATGATTAGTGATGTTGAGCATTTTTAAAATACCTATTGGTCATTTGTATGTGTTCTTTTGAGTCATGTCTATTCAATCCTTTACCCACTTTTTAATGAGTTTTTTTCTGTTGGGTTGTTTGAGGTTGTGGTATATTCTGGATATAGTCCTTTGTCAAATGAATACTTTGCAAATGTTTTCTCCCATTCAATGGGTTGTTTCTTTGCTCTGTTAATTGTTTCTTTTGCTATGCTGAAGCTTTTAGTTTAATACAGTCCATTTGTCTATTTTGGTTTTGTTGCCTGTGCTTTTGAGGTCTTAGCCATAAATTCTTTGCCCAGATCCATGTCCTGGACCATTTCTCCAATGCTTTCTTCTATTAGTGTTTGAGTTTCAGGTGTTACATTTAAGTTTTTAATCCATTTTGAGTTGCTTTTTGTTTATGATAAGAGATAAGGATTTAGTTTCATTCTTCTTCATGTGTATATCCAGTTTTCTCAGCACCATTTGTTGAAGAGGTGTGCTTCCTCCAATATATATTCTTGGCACCTTTGTCAAAACTAAGTTGACTGTAAATATGTGGCGTTATTTCTAGGTTCTCAAATATGTTTCATTGGTGTATGTGTCTGTTTTAATACCAACACCAGGCTGTATGGGTTACTGTATTCTTGTAGTATATTTTGAAGTCAGGTAACGTGATGCCTCCAGCTTTGTTCTTTTTGATCAGGGTTGTTTTATCTATTTAGGCTCCGTTTTGGTTCCATATGAACTTTAGGATTGATTTTTTCTATTTCTGCAAAGAATATTATTAGTACTTTGATAGAGATTGCACTGAATCTGTGAAATGTTTAGGGTAGCATCTTAGACCATTTCAATGCTATTAAAGAATATCTGAGATGGGGAATTTATAAAGAAAAGATGTTTATTTGGCTCATGGTTCTGCAGGCTATGTAAGAAGCATGACACCAGTATCTGCTTCTGGGGAGGACCTCAGAAAGCTTCTTATCATGGAGGAAGGGAAAGGGGCCTGGCATCACATGGTGAGAGAGGAGGAAAGAGAGAGAAGAGGAGGTGCTAGGCTCTTTTTAATAGCCAGATCTCAAGGGAAGTTAAAGAGTAAGAACTCACTCATTACTACAAGAATGGCTCCAAACCATTTGTGAGGAGCCCACTCCCATGACCCAAATATCTGTCACTAGACCCCACCTCCAACAATGGGGACCAAATTTCAACATGGGATTTGGAAGGGGAAAATATTCAAACTATATCAGATAGTATGATAGATTTAACAATATTAATTCTTCCCATCAATGAGCATATGTCTTATCATTTGTGTATTCTTCAGTTTTGTTCATCAGTGTTTTGTAGTTTTCTTATAGAGGTTTTTCACCGCCTTATTTAAATTTATTCTTAGGTGTTTTTGTAGCTATTTTAAATAGGATTGCCTTTGGGGGGGTGGTTCAGCTATTTTGTTATTAGTGTATAGAATTAATACTGATTTTTGCATGTTGATTTTATATCTTGTAACTTTCCTGAATTTATCAGTTCTAAGATATTTTTGATGGAGTCTTAAGTTTTTTTCTACTAATAAATATACAATTGTGTCACCCCCAAAGAGGGACAATTTGACTCTTTTTTCCAATTAGGATGCTTTTTCTTTCTTTCTCTCTTCTGGTTGCTCTGGCTAGGACTTCCAGTATCATGTTGAATAGGAGTGGTAAAAATGGACATCCTTGTCTTGTTCCAGTTCTTATAGGAAAGGCTTTCAGCTTTTTTCCATTCAAGATGATGTTAGCTGTGTGTTTGTCATATATGGCCTTTATTATGTTGAGGTATGTTCCTTCTATGCCTAGTTTTTTGAGAGTTTTTAATATAAAGGGATATTGAATTTTATCAAGTGCTTTTTCTGTATCTACTGAAAGGATCATATAATTTTTGTCCTTCATTTTGTTGATGTGATGGATCATGTTTATTGATTTGCATATGTTCTTGTTTTTGTGCTTTGGTTTATTCTTGCTTTTCTAGTTTCTTTTTTTTTTTTTTTAATTTTTACTCTTTAACCTGAAATGTGCTCCCAGGCTCAGCATGGTTTTATTGGTATTTCCTACATCTTCAAGGAGTTTTAGCTTTAGACATCCTGACAGCAAGAAAGAGTCAAAGTTCAATATTTCTCTTGCTGAGTCATTGAAATATTCCACTAGAGGCCTTTGTCCTGAGTTCTGGGCAAAGAAAAAAACCTGGTTTTGAGAAGTGTTATATGGAGGTGGGGTCTGTTTTGCCTGGCACAAATGACATCACAAAAAGGGGCTTGACAAAGTGGTCAAATGGGGCAACCCTGCCTTTCCAAAGAAAAATACATGACTAGCAGCCTGGGAGGTGGGACTAAGGAGAAGCAGAGTTTCTCTGAAAGGTTATGATCTCTAGGTAAGAGAAGAATTGACTCAAAATAAGTAGTCTTCTACTTATTTTGCTGCTGACAGGGAGTTCTCTGCTGATAGGGAGTTCTCTTCAAACTCATCCTAGATTTTGTCTCATCCTTTCTCACTCAAAAAAAAAATAATCTTACCCAGTTAAGACACATGAAATCACATCTTAAAATTTCTGCAATGTCCCAAGTCTGTTCTTAGTCTGAGCCCCAGCAGTCCTCTTCTGCAGTCAGTCCTTGAGGTGCACCATTAGATTGTTTATTTAGAATCTTTCCACTTTTTTGATGTGGCATTTAGATCTATAAACTTTCCTTTTATCACTGCTTTTGCTGTATCCCCTAGGTTTTGGTATGCTATGTTTCTATTTTCATTTGTTTTAAGAAATTTTATTTCTCTCTTAATTTCTTCATTGAACCAATGATCACTCATTCAGGAATATGTTTAATTTTCTTGCAGTTTTACAGTTTCCAGACTTTTGATTTGTTATTGATTTCTAGTTTTATGCCATTGTGGCCTGAGAAGATATTTGATATGACTTTGATTTTTTAAAATTTGTTGAGACTTGTTTTGTGACCTAACATATGGTCTATTCTGGAAAA